CGGCGTTTGAGCTCAATGACCGCAGTCTTCAAACGATCCCTGTCTTTGGGTTCCAAGACTCGGCGGAGGTGAACTTTTATGCCTTTCAACCTTGACAGACGAGACAGTATGAGCTGCGGCATATTGTGATTTGCAAAGGTGATTCTCAGAGGTCGACATGAATGGTTGGTTTTCTGGCCCAGTCGGACTACTTGTTTACTCGTCACATTGTCTTCACCCACATCCAAGAGTCTATCGATGAGCCCCTAGAGGAACTCAACATCGTGGTCATAACGTATCTGATCGTTTCATCTTTTGACTCTGGTTCGTGGAAGACCATGAGATTATGGCGCCTCAGCGGAATGGGTGATGAACCTGTGGGAGCAGGACTAGAGGCGTTTGTCGGTTTGGGTTGTTATTTATCAGCAGGGGACCCCTGAACTCGATTATGTGGCCTCTTGCGCTTTGGAGTGGTCTGTGGATCCTCTGTGTTCAGAGGTTCACAAACAGGCTGCTAAAAATTCACGGACCGATCAGTGAAGCGGCATTCAGTAGGTTCCGAGTCTGAGTCTTTATTTAGTAGAGAACATTGGAACCTGAGCCTCGGCCGGCCTCGAGGACGGTGGTAGTGGTGCAGATCGCGGAATGACAAAGGAATGCGAGGTGAGAGAGGTACTTTCACGACGGCGTTTGACCACACGTGTTGAACGGTTTGCTTTTGCCTGGAAGAGAGGTTTTCCCTTAGTTGTTGGCGGTCGCTGTGTATTCTGATGTCTTGCACAGCGACATTATCACATATAAGTTGGAAAAATCGATGTCGGATGTCAAGAGGTGTTAGAAACACGTCAAAGGATAAGCTAATGCACGAAATATGGAACAGAACATTGCGGCCGAAGTGCCGAAGTGCATGAGCCTTATGTCCAACAAGTTTCGAACAAGAACCACATGTAGCATGAGACGGCATCACAAAGTAGAGCAAATCCAAGATGGCGATTGGGCCAATCAAGGAGGTTTCCGGAATTAGCCAAAGAATAACCACCAAATTTGCACCGGTCGGAAATATGCCAAAAGAAGAATATCAGTGCACAATTTACACAGAGAAAACACTTATAACAGTAATCCGAAGCAAAAGTAGTATACAGCACAAGGTGATTCAAAAAGCCCAGAATCAATTAGTATAGAACAACACTCAAGTTACCAGGAATATTCGTTTCACCTCCCGCACCGTCAAGTATGCCCTCATCCAACACGGCATCCTCCCTAGCACAACGCATGCTTTCACTACGCCCGACTCCGCTTCGTGAGCAGACCAGGAGTGCAAATGCAAAGCGGACCTTCTAACTGCACTCACGCCTTCCTCTGCACTGACACAATGAGACATCCTCTCCAGTTTGCTTACGATGAGCCCTTCACGATCTTGCAACGAACTCCGAAGCATTACATTTTAGACCAGAATGGCCACTGAACAACGGTGTCCATCGACCGCCTCAAAGTGACCGTCTTTGATGAATCACCTTCAACTCATCCTGATGCCATCACACAAGCACCCGCACCTGTGGTGACTTCACGAACAACAGATAACCCAAAACTCTCTGTTCCTCTTCATCCCCCGTTTACCCAGGCTCAAACCCAGGCAAGCGATTGGCGCGGTAGACAGGTCAAAGGTCCGGTTCGTTTTGCATATTTTGTTAACGTTGGTTATTTCCATTAATGCACATGTCCTTCGTCTTTGATAGTGATTGTACGTTTCAGCCAAACGTTTTACAAAATTGACAAAAAATCCACAAAACGTTTTGAAAAGCTCGAAAAGCGGAATTGCTTTTATCCAGCATGTTATGTTCTCGCTCAAGTGATAACACATAGCACTTGACCGCCGAAGGCTACAAATGGATTGGTTCCCAGACGCTTGGCCACAGGATCCCGACAAGGACGAGCGATTTCTTTGTGGGACGAGGACCATTATGTCTGTGGGCTGAAGTTGTGGTGAAGAGAGTGACACCTCCCAAACGCACCGTCGAGTCTGCAGCGGAGGAAGTGTCCTGTCGGCCACTTTTCTCGATTAGCACTTTTTCTGCAGTCAGACGAGCTCGCCCCGACGGTCCACCGATGATGCGCTTCATTCCATATGCGAATAATAACAAAGCACTATGATCGAAGCGAACTCTGTTACACGTCACATTTTGGAACCCCGTGTCCAAGTTTATTTGTTAATCTTCGCACCCATCTTCATCGCCTGTGCGCTCACATACTGACTGCTCTAGCGAACGCTTCAATTCCTCAGCCCTCTAGAGAGAGGCTGTTAAAGTGCATCTGGAAGAATACTCCCTCAGTATTCCACAAGATTGGATTTTATTGTTGTTTAAACTTTCGCAAAGCCTATGTGTTTTAATGACTGTACATCCGCTGACACTTCTGCTCTGGCGAGTCCCGTGCTACACAGTTTCTTGCCCTTGTTGATTCGCTTCCCATTCCTTGTAGACTGTAAAATACATGTTGGGTCCAGCTGATTCTATCTTCTGTAGCGTCCAGCATTTTGCACGTCGCTTACATGTTACTGCTGCCAACTACTATCCCAGGTGCCACTCAACAAGGCAAAGGGAAAAACAAAGAATATTTGAACGTTTGAGGTGTCCAACAAAAGTTAACAATACATGCCTTAAAAGAGCCTAGAGTAAACTACATAAGGGTATAAGAAAAATCTGGCCTTAACACCACCGAAACATAGTATATGCACTTAGTTATGTTGCACAAGATTCACAGCAGGTTCCGGTAATAATTCCCACAAAAAGACATCAGCAGTACGCCAGTATGCAGTATTGACGCTCCGATACCGCGCAATCACCACTAGTCGCACATGGGCTAAGGATACTGGGAGAATCACTGGTCCCATACGCATGTTCGGACCCCCCCTCGGATTACGACAGGGGCTTGTAACCCTTAGGACTAGGGACCATTTAAAAGAAAATTAATAAATTTGTCTATTCAAGAGTTAAGATCTAGACAGTGACGTAAAGGGATCTGTCCGCCGATACCATGCCCCGTAAAATGTTTGAAAATAATGGAAAGCCGTCGCTAGACCAAACGACAGACTACCACACAATCGACAGCCACACGCCGATGGCTGCTGATGCAGCTACCAAGGTAAGTGAATTAAACAACCACCTCGAGTTCTTCGCTAGCAATGGTCAGGGGATCATCAAGTGGCTGGTGGTCCTGTAACAGCTCTGAGTTTTGAAGACATGAAGCGCATGCTATAATAGAGAGCTTATGATCCCGACGTGAATCAAGACATCTGTACTCATTACATTTCGGTGCACAAACTGTTTGGGTAGCACAACCGGAATTAAAATATACGAATGAAAAACCAGATAGACCCAGTTCAGTTGAACGATTAGGGCACCGAATTGTAGTGAATTCCGTTGCCACGACTCATGTCGTCAAAATAACAAGAAAAATCGGCAAGAAATGAGGTTTAATACTCAAAGAATGGGAAGAACATGAAACCAAAAAGGAGATACGTTAAACTAATCAGGATGAAATAAAAATTACCAGCAAGATCCAGGAAACCGAACGCAGAAACCCCAATGACTTCGTGACTGCACCATGTATGATAGAGTCTTCAAACACTGATGTGGGCCATCTCGGGGCCCCGATCTACGATGATGACACACACCAGGCTGTGCAAGTCACGCAGTCAATTGCTTCGTGCTATTATGCCAAGCAACTTGGTGGAGTGACGGTGTTGGGAAAATTAGTCAACTCGCATACGGAGGACATAGCTTAGCCGACGTAAGCGGTTGAGATTAAAAAACACTCAAATGAGGCACCAGAAGGCTTATTGTCAAAAAAATTAATCGGCGGATCTAAACATTCGTCAAGCAGCGTTCCCGCTAGATGTGAGAGATACTCTGTTCAGCATTGGTGATACAACATGGCAAAAGGTTTAATGTCTTCACTGCGAGCGCTGGTCTGGTCTCTGATCCCATACAGTAACTCCGGCCTAATCGCAGCCTTATAGACCAAACCAAACATAGATTTTGTGAGGGTAAAATGATCCAAAGCCCAAACGTGTTAATATGGAGCACTGTATTGCATTAAAAATGGTGGAAGACGATGCAACAAACAACGGGAAAATGTCCCGCGAGAAATGAAGAAAATCATTTAATAGGATATATACGAACTTTGCAGACAAAGAAATTGTCATTACCCCAGGTTAAGGATAGAGAAAGTTCTTTGATTTTGTCCTTTTCACTTGGTTAGACCACCATTCTACACAGTGGCTAACGGTGATAGATACATCGGCCTTGATGCAGCAATACAATGCAATTAGGTGGCAGAATAAAAATAAAAAGCAACAAAGGCAAACCAAAAAGGTCACTGCGATTTTGCCTAGAAGTATAAGCTTCCAGAAAGGAGCACTATGATAGGATGTCAGTGGAGTGGGTCCTTAGGATTGGAGCAAAAATGGTTCAAGAACCACGGCACCTGTCATATCTCGAGAGAGTTCTTAAGCTCGGAATAGTTTAGCCGCACTATTACCGACCTCGTGGCGACTTGAGACTGGTCTATCGTATACCGACAGGGAAGATTGGTTCTGATTTGTCTTGGCTTTATGAGCGAACTATAGTATCATCTTTCCGTGGTCATTCGATGAAGTTGCACAAACCTCGATCTGATGGGGTTTGGACCAATGTCCGACTGTCGCCTAGGATACTTGATTCCTGGAATGCTTTACTGAAGACGTGGTATCAGCACAAACAGTGAAGGAGTTGGAGCATAGACTCGATACTCTTGGGCTGCAGTTACAAAACTTCCCTTTCACATCTAAAATGTTACCCTTAACTAGTATTATTTGTATTTTCTTTCTAATTCCGATTATTTCCGCCTTATTGTTACATGGCAATTTCACTCCTACTTCACGTGACTGGCGCAATCTCTGCCGAACTACGCACGTATGGCAGTCCGATAACGTTTACGTACTTCTCGAGTACATCTCTCCTGCTTGACTATGTAGTCCAGTGTCATTTCAGTTTGCAGTAATCCCGTATTACCATGGCAAACATATGGAAGACGGTTACATCTAGACAGACTTTCAAATAAACCACTGAGGATAACAAAAAACATTCAAACAGGGAAAAAAACGGATTTCGGGATGCTGACTCACAAGCCAATCGATGGGCTGCAACGCCCCGAAGGAGCCGAGGAGAACAGCACAAAAATGGTCTAATTGACCAACAGTGGAATTGGTCATTAGAACAAATCCCGGCTGGAAAAAAGAGGAAAGAGAAAGCGGGTACTGCGAAAGCACGATTGGCAAGAAACAGAGGCAAACTACAAATAGGCTCGACAGTGTTATTCTAAAGAAAATGAAGTAAAATGCAATGCTAAGATTTGTTCAAGAATACTGAGTCGTACAGAGGACGAAATACGTAACTGGAAAGGTGAGGGAAGGCTGATCATCAAAGGTGCCAGTTAATTCAGGTAGAATGATTAATACAGATAAGAAAAATAAAAACAAATTACCTTTATATCGGACGCCTCGGAGCTGTATCGGACGAAGCCGGATAGAAGGAGTAGAGTTGTCTTCCATACAATCGGTGTAGGCATACTTCTGAAAAGGTGCACAGAAAAACATCGCAAAGTATACAAAACACATAATGTTTAAATTACGCAAGTTGACTGATCGCCGGTAAAAGCAACAGTAAGAAAACCAAGTACCATTAAAGATAGTTCTTCAGCAATCAGTGCACCGGCGGAAATAAATATGGCAGGGAGCCAGGGTAACATTAAAATTTGGACAAAACATCCACGACGTCGATAAAACTCGGCATGCCCCTCGCGAATCTGGCATTCACGAGTGTCAATCAGTTTACGGAAAACGACAGAGTTAAGTTGGAGGTAATTAAGACCAGACTGATATTTCTGTTACTGCTGCATTCCGAACGTCAGCCTCCTTCGAAAAAATATGACTGTGACGGAGGGGCTCCAATCTGCTGCTCCCACAACTTCACTGGTAATTTTTACAAATCATCTCTAAGAGCAGGTCCCAGAACTTGAAAAGGACTGGAGGAAATTTACTTGTTCCATCGTATTTATTCAATTTCAAAGTTTGAAATTATGTTTGACTTCTGTGAGTAAAGGCAGATTTAGGGGAACAGCGCAGAGAGGTCAATAACCGCTCGATAAAGCTGCTAAGTGTCGCCGATAAAACGGCTTTTCCAAGTGTTCGACCTGTCAAAGTGGGGGTGCCTCCTACCGTCCAGCTGCGGCCTAGCTGGACGTCCCTTAAAGGTTTGGATCTCTGCTCGTTCTCTGGAGCTGTTCGAACGCAGCAAAGATATCCCGGAGGAATGAGATAGAAACGAGTGGCGCCGTTCTGTCAACCGGCTGCTCAAGCAAGGCCTATGTAATGATCGCGAAGCATGGTGGTCTGAGTGTGCTTTAGAGATGGAGACCGTTGCGCTCCCCGACAACACTCTTAGGCTTTTCCAACTCATTCGATCAGCTGGCCTCAGGAAGCCTAGTGTCAGTGAAGCTGTTTGGGAAGTGGATGAGTCTCCGATCACCAACCAACATCACACACACACACACACACACAAAACAGCAGTACATCAGCCATTTGAACTGATGCTTCGCTCCCATACAACCATCAGGACCTAGGAAATAAAGATTAAGAAGAGCGAGAGAAGCGGGACTTACCTAAAAACCTTAATGCCCTAAGCAAACATTCAGGGTCAAGGTGCCTACACCTTGGGTAGACAACATACCGTCACCAACACTTGGCTATCATGCCAAGATGAGGCGGCATCGGCGAGATAGCTTTCTTGCGGCTTTCACTGCCACGCGTCATAATTAGCCATTACCCCGCAGATAACTCAGCACCAAACACACTTTAAACAGGCAATCTAATTAGGAGACGGCAGCAGACTGCCACGGGTGTCTACTGTAAGCCATGTCCTGTAAAGTCTCGAGCCAAGCACAAGTCGAGTCACGTGGACTCCAGCCCGGAAGGCGAGACCGATCAACGGTACCCAGTTTGGTCGTCAGTGTCTTCATTTCCCGTTGCCAAGTCAACTTCTGTCCACCTCGAGCCTTGCACCACCCTACACCTGGCAGACTAAACAACGCCCTCCTAGGTAAGCGGTGACCAGGCATACGTAGCACGTGCCCGAGCCAACGAAACTTATTCAGTACTATCTGTTGTTCTAGGGAGCTAGCATGATTAGCACTACATAGTTGTCGCCTACGCACATCATCATTGCGGACACGCTGGTGCCATCCAACTCCAGCAATGCTTCGCAGACAACGATGATCAAAGGGTTGAAGGCGCCTCAGATCTTCAGACCGAAGGGGCTAAGTCTCAGTACCATACAGCAGAACGGCCCTCACTGTGGCCTTGTATACACGGCCTTTCAGACGAAGAAAAACTCCCTTCTGTCGCTAAAGATGCCGCAGGTTCAAGAAGGCAGCTCTGGCTTTTGCGATGCGTGAGCTGTCAGTTTCTATGCGCCCATCATTGCTGATGCAGCCGCCAAGATAAGTGAAATGATCAACCACCTCGAGTTCCTCGTTAGCAAGCGTCAAGGGGTCATCAAGTGGCTGGTGGTCCTGCAACAACACTTTGCATTTTGAAGGTGCGAAGTGCATACCAAATAATGGGACCACTCTGGACAGGCTATTCAGGGTTGACTGGGCTGCCCCAACATTGTCGAAAAGCAAGACGATATCGTCCGCATAATCTAGATCAACTAACCTTTCACCAGGCAGCACTTGAACGCCTACATCGTGGGATTCCGCAAGGGAACACTCCATGATAGAATCCACGACGAAATTGAACAAAAACGGGGAAATCGGACAACCCTGACGAACACCACTTGTAGTAGGAAAGCTATCCGATAGGACACCATAGACCCTGACGCGGCCTCTACTGTTCGAGTATAGAGCACGAAGGATGTTCACATATTTCGTGGGAACACCTTTGCGCGCAAGTATCTCGAACAGAATCGATCGATCGACTGAATCGAACGCACTCTTGAAATCGAGGAACACAGCTATTGTCGGCCTGCGGTATGCGTGGCGCTGCTCTAGCACCTGCCGCAAAGTGAATATATGGTCTATACAGCCACGTCCTGGGCGGAAACCAGCCTGTTCTTCCCTAATCCGAGATTCCCGTTCCGCAGTGAGGCGACGAACGATAATCGAGGCCAATAATTTTGTCACAACTGGCGTTAGGCTAATACCCCTGTGGTTAGAACAGTCTGTGCGACTGCCCTTCTTGTATATTGCCACTATAATCGATTCGCTCCAATTAGCCGGGACGCTCTCTTCTTTCCAAACACATTCGAATAGAGGTCAGTGCGTTGCAGAGGATCTCACCTCCATCCTTAAATAGTGCAGGTGGGAGGGAATCCGGGCACGAAAATCCGCACGAAAACGATTGAGGGCTGTAATCACGTTTCGGATCTCGGCCTCCGATGGAGGCTCTAAACTAACCGTCCATGGCTCGTCCTGCATCACCTAAGTAGGAAGAGGTCCGGGAGCAGGAGGCCAGCTGAACTGATCTTGAAAGTGTTCAGCCCAACGAGTCATACGGCGCTCCATATTGTGTATCAGCGCACCCGCGCTGTCTCTGATTGTCTCACTGACGCGTGGTTTTCTGGGACCAGTGGTGCGGATAAGCTGGAAGTGCTTGCAGTAATTGCCTACTGCTCCTGCCTCCTCCATTTCTTGAGCCCTACTGGTCCACCAGGCTTCCTTGTCAGCACGTAGGCTCCGCTTTAGTTCACACCTAATAGCCTGTCTGGTCACATTGTGTTCAGAGCCAGCCGGGAGGTGTCTTCTAGATTCCAACAGGTTCACCGACCTCTCGGATATCCAGTCACTGGTGCGGCGTATGGATCGACGGGCTGAGCACTTTTACTCGCAGTTCAACTGACCTCCACGGTCCATCAGTACATGCGGTACACGTCATTGTCCACCCTTGCTCGTCCTACTGAATCCACTTAGCGAAGCGGAAACGTGCCTCGAGATTTGACGCTTGAAGCGGCTCAAGGCTGCCGGCTTAGACGAACTTCCTCCGGAGCTGTTAAAGTACAGCGGCGTGGCGATCATTAACCAGGTGACCACACTGTTCGCAAAAATTTGGCATGAAGAAAAAGTGCCCTCCTCTTGGGGCGAATCAGTTATTGTCCTGATTTTCAAGAAACGCGCTCGCACTTATGTGTAAATCCTCAAGGGCTTAGTCTTATTTAGGTTGCCTTCAAGCTATTGGCATCCATTCTGCCCTGTAGACTGTCCCCAATACGCGAATCATCCTACCGTGAAGAGCGAGCTGGTTTCCGTTCCAGGCGCAGATGCGTGGATCAAATCTTCACGCTTCGCCAGATCCTCGAACATCGCCACATTTATCACAGGCCCACAATCGGTGCATTCCTAGACATACGTGCCGCTTTTGACTCCGTTGATCGACCTGCTTTGTGGCGTTGCTTGCTAAAGAACGGGGTGCCAGAGAAATATACCGCCATCTTAAGAGCACTTTACGTTCATATCTCCGGCAGAATGTGGGTCTATGGCAAGCTTTCCTTGCAATTCCGTCAATGGCGGTGTGCAACAGGGTTGCCCTATGTCCCCATTCCTCTTCAACTTCGCAATCGATGTTTTGTCGAATGCTCTAGAAGGTTTCCAACATTTTGGCCTGGAGCTTCCACCGGGTGAGCGCGCAACCGGCTTAGATTGTGCTGATATCGCTTTACTTGGTGACGATGCTCAGGGTAAGCAAGTCATTCTAAATCATTTGGCGGTCGAAGCATCAAGTACGGCATGAGCTTCGACGCATCGAAGTGTAAGTGCTCAAGGATTGGCTTACACCTGCTCCTGCGCTCAATCTGGAAGGTGCACAACTTGAACAGGTAGATAGGTTCGTCTACCTTGAGAGCTGTGTTTCTGTTGACGGCATTATCAGCAAACTTTCTCTTCGCATGGCTAAAGCCCAATCAGCATTTGCCAAGCTGAGGCACCTGTGGCGACTTCGGGACGTTTCATTCTCGCTAAAGGGCCGCGCTTACAGCGCATCTGCTCGCTGTGTTGTTGTATGGGAGCGAGTCCTGGCCCATTCGCGTGGAACACATGCGTCGTGTTTCTGCCTTTGACGACAGTTGTTTAAGGAGGATTGCTCATGTTTGGTGGCAACATTCAGTTAACAGTAATGACACTCGACGTCGCATCTTGGGGAATGCGAGTATTCCCTTCAACAAACTGGTTTTGCTGCACCAGTTGAGATGGCTCGGTAACGTCCTACGCATGGCACCTGAGCGTCTACCGCGTCGCGCTCTATCGCTCGACATGGACCTGGCTGAAGGCGGCCGCGTGGTGATCAGTCTTCCACTTGTCGACAGCACATGAAATCGCTGACGTCGTGTCTAGCCGCTGTTGGACCCGTAAGTCTTCCAGGACGTGAACCTAAAGATGAGGAGTGCCAATGGCTTAACACTTGAAGACATGGCGAGCAACGGGAATCGGTGGAAGAATTGTGTAAAGAATTGCATTGATTCACATGTTTAATGATGCAAACATTGCAGATGGCAACAAAGAGAATAATCGGCGTGTAAAAGA